TGCAAATTAGTCTCATGCAAATAATTATTAAATTATTTAACTACATCTATTATAATATTATGATCAGTAAATTTAGAAATGTCAAGCTATATTAATTTATATAGTACATATATCTATGACACAAATAGTAAGAAATAGTGCTACATATAAATGTATAGATATAAACATATATAGATATTCATTCATATATTACTATTATTGTTATTATTAACTTTCATTATAAATATATTAAAGCCCGTATTCAAATCGCACTTACAATGTTAGCGCGCTAACATACTATACTTTACGTCATGTATATTGTAGAATTTCAGAAATAAAAGAGCTTTCTAAGAACAAGATTAAGAGTATATATAAGTGCATTATTTAAAAAATATTAATTCTTATCATATTATTATTACAATATTTAATTATGAAGTTTAAATTTATTTCAAAAAAATGATCAACAAAATAAACACAAATAAACGTAGCTATAAAAATAAAAACATATTTAGGCAAAATAATAACTTTTGCCACGTTTACTTCAAATTTAAAATGAATTATTATGATCGGTACTTAAGTTACATGCATTTAGTAATTCATTCATAACGATTAAATTGCAATTTAATTACGAAAAAAAAGTTTAACTTTTATATTTACGTACCTTGCCTGCAATGAATGGATTACTTTGCAACAGAGTACACAATTGAAGAAAATGTTCGCGAACATTTATGCTCTTATTTGACATATCGTTCGCGCTTAGTCGCCGCCCTCGCTGAGTTACCACGAGGCGACATCCCCAGTTCAATAGCAAATAAGAATAATTACATATTCAAGAGCTATGCAGAAAAGTTGACAGAAAAGTTGACTAATCTTAAGACAATTTTTTTTATATATAATAACATTATAATTTCTAAAGGAATCCACTTGTTTCATTGCCTTACAATACTTACTACCAATAAGTCGCAACACAACAACTCGTCTCATCAACGTCTCACTTCTCTGGGTAATGACCGTTTGTGATATTATGTAATATCACATTGCTATTTTTTTTTATTTAAATAATATAGGACACAGCAGAACCACGCGACCGAAAATTTATTCGTTCTATTGACTAATTAATAAATATAATCTTGCCCGTAATAACAACTTGAGATATCAATCGCGAATTATGCCGCGCACTCAATCGATGCGGATTAATAGTTTTAACCAATAATTGCTATTATAATATAATAATATGATCCAAAAATAAGGACACAATAGAACTACAATTGAAAATTTACATTCGTTATTATTATATAACATTTATATACACTACTAAACTAACAATATAACCTCGTAATGACTCTTAAGACGTCAGGTCAATCGCGAATTTCGCCATCGGCGAAATTCTCTACTCGATCGAGATCCGGATCCAACCAATCACATGTTCGGAAAAGGGTTTCAACGATATCGAAGGATAAATTTTCGATTGAAAATGCACACTTCTCGCATACCTATGACTTTTTTATTATAAGAAACAGAAATAATAAATGTGAAAACATTAAAAATAATTAAAAAGGTAATTTTTGCATTATTTGTTTTAGAAAAACTCAAGTTTTGAAGAAATGCAAAAAAATTACTTACGTTAATTATATATAAAATTATGTATAATTATGTATTAACAATTTTTTTTACATTTTTCCGAACTTGTTTTTTTTTCTAAAATAAACAATGCGAAAATTATCTCTTTAATTATTTTTTATGTTTTCTCATCACTATTATTATTTCTATTATACTAAAAAATAATTTTACAAAAGAAAGGAGGGAAAAAATTTTTTTTTATGTATAAATATGTATGGACATATCTCATATATAATTATATATATTTATGAATATTTATGTGTGTTAAGTATGTTTATACATATTTATACACATTCATACATAAAAAAAATTTTTATATCGGATTCCCATCCAAGATTATCCATGTATCACTCCATTCTTGTTATTTATCGAATGTTAAATAAGGATGACCCGGAACATCCAAAAAACAGGTGGAAATCCGGACACATGCACTTAGCATGATGATTAATTATTAGAAGATAATTTTCTTCGTGAAGATAATTTTCTTCGTTTAAACCAGCTTAACGAGGTTAGTTTTTATAAGTACATGCACACGTACACACGTAGGCATCGGCGGAATCCGCAAAAGAAATAAATTTGCGCAACAGAAAACGGCAGAATCGGCAGAATGAAGCTACAACCAATCTCGAACGTTCCGCAGTTCCGCATCCTCCAGGAGCACATCCTGACACAGCTGCAGCAGCTGCTGTGTTATATTATATGGAAAATAAAAACGGCAATATACTAAAAAAAAATGTTAGGAAAGCGCTTATACTATCTTCGAAAATCGCAGTCAGCGCAGTTTTTAGTCTCGAAATTAAAATTAGAAGATCGTTTTCATAATATTTATATCATTTTGAATAATAGATATAAATAATAATAATAATATAATAAGACAATAATAATAATAATATTATTATTACTATTGTACATTTTTCCAAATTTGTTTTTTTCTAAAACAAACAATGCAAAAACTATCTCTTTAATTATTTTTTATGTTTTCACATCTATTATTATTTCTATTATTATCATCGTCATCATTTATTTATATTATTATTTACACAATAATAAATATAGTAATATATTCGAATAATATATTATATTTTATAATATTAAAGAAAGTAGGTAGCAAGTTAAAATTTCGCTGCGTTTCTTCGCTCATAAGTTCGATAGTGGTCTAATTTCCTAACCTAACCAATCAACAGTCGAACATTCCCCTGTCGTTCGACAGGGGAATACTCGACTGTAGTTGGTTAGTTCTTACATTCTGATTCTAATTTAAACCCTTGATGGAAACTAGGCCAGTGTTGAACTATGAGCGAAGCTTCGCTCGCTATGCATTTTCGCTTGAATTGATGGAGGGGGGGGGGGGTCTTCGCCAGTGAAATTTCGCTGCATGAAATGATACCTTAAATGCTGTGCTTATGGAGCTCATGCCAATTCGCGTGTAGTGACTCCATGTTGTGTGACAGATTTCTTAACCTCAACAGTCATTAACTTTAACACTTAATCTTGATTCGCGGGGCCAACTGTCACATTTTTCTGTCCAATTCTTTCTTTCGTATGAAAACGCGTCGAATGAGCCTAATTTCATCAAAATCGGAGGTGAGGTAGCTATTCTAAATAATTACCAAAGTTAAAATAAAGAAGTTTTATACCTTGAAAAGCAGTGAAGACATCAACTGTGTTCCAAATTACTGCCACTACTGTAGATGCGACAATTTACATTACGTACACTATAGACTTCCAGTATAGGCAATCAATTTTGAAACATAGCCATTATGTCACCTAATCAGACTCATTCTGAGACAGATCGGTATAAATAAGGACGTATCAAATATTTAATCCGCACCAATTTGATACGTGTACTAACCGTTTTAACGGTTGTAAAAGGGGTCAAACATTCAAAAATTGATGTACTATGAACCGATTGGATGATCCGCCAGGGCTCATGAAAGGCAGAAAACCATCTTTCATTGGAATGAACGGTATATTCTAGTTTTCTTTAGCACTTCTATTCTAACCTATCTTTTTTAAATTATATAGCTGTAATTTTTAATATATTGACTTAGACAAATATTAAAAAATCACTTGATATTACATATTTTTATTTTAACCTGTTATCTTTAACTTGTTAAGTTATATAGCGACACAAATGACACGGTGTGACACAATGGATCATCACATCCTTATTGTTTGCCAATGTTAAACAAAGATGACATGATCACTGTGTTTCACTGTGTCGTGTTGGATAGCATACATAATAACCAATTTTAAGTATCACTTTAGGTACATCACTACAAAATTAATTGATAAATTTTTTTCTTGATTATTTTGAAATTTATATTAATATAAAATTTTATATTTTAGGGGCTCCGGAGACGGATGACCAACAGCGAGTACGATTTCAGGTTGAATTAGAGTTTGTACAATGTCTTGCCAATCCAAATTACTTAAATTGTAAGTAAGAATGATCCTCGCATTCTTTAGTTTTAAAAGAAAAATTTGTTTTATTTCTGATAAATGTATTTCTAGTTTTGGCACAACGTGGCTATTTCAAAGATGCGACATTTATTAATTATCTCAAATATCTATTGTACTGGAAAGAACCGGAATATGCAAAGTATTTAAAGTATCCTATGTGCTTGTATTTCCTGGATTTATTACAGTATGAGCACTTTAGAAGAGAAGTTGTGAATTCTCAATGTACAAAATTTATCGACGATCAGCAGATTCTGCTATGGCAACATTACACTAGACGTCGAACAAGACTTCTACAAACAGCTGTTGAGCAAACGCAACATACTAATTCTCAAAACAATGGTATCGTTCAACCTAAGGTTCCCTAAAGTTATAATTTTATATTTGTCCCATTTATTCATTCTCTACATTTGAAGTTTTTTCCAATATAAATAGTGCTTCTATAGGGGTTAATTAACAGGTTGTTGCTTGACTGTGATAAATAATTCACAACTTTCTCACATTTTTACATTGAATTATATTCCTTTCACATATAAATATGAGTAAATTATTTATTTAAAAAATCATTAAAAGAATATTTGTTTCAGTTATAATTTTTTTCTTAATCAGTTTTGCTACATTACAATTGTATGTGCGTATATGTATATATGCCTAATAATAGTATTACATCTTTGTATGCGGCGTGAAAATGCATTCTTTAAACGATAAGTTGCATATTGAATCAGTTTAAATCGATTTCTCGGACTGGCATTTATTAAATATCCAAGGGCATATTCAGATTCCCATCTGGGTACTCTCTGGGTATCATGTTATTCTTGTTTAACTTTTGATAAACAACAGGAATGGAGTGACATCTAATTGGTACTTGAGTGGAAAAATGAACATAGCCCAGAGATTCATGAGAATTTTCGTTTTGTGTGAATATGATTAGTTCTACAATTGTTTCTTAGAAAGCGCTTTATGTTTATTAAACATTGTTTTATTAGTAAATAGTTTGCGTGAGGATCTCGTAAGACTAATTAAAGATGTCCATTAAATACGATAATTTTAGTACAAAGTTGTTTTATTTTGTAAATTATTCGGTATTTTTATTTTCCATAAAATTCACCAAAATTCCATTGCCAGCATCTACCCAATTCTCTGAAAAGAGTTTCTGCCTTAAAATTTGTCTTTCTGTCAAATCTTCTTTCTTTACGTCATTTTCTGTATTGATATCATCACTCTTGCAATTATTCTTATCGATTATATTCTTCATATCCATCACTTGATCAGGTAAAATTTTGTTCAGTGTCTCTGGTAAAATTAAAACCAATACACCAGAGACGAGGCATAACATTCCAATGATTAGTAACGGTATCGGAAGTGATACATGTCTCTAATAAAAAAAAGTTATTTGCATTTCTAATGACTATATGATTTTTTATTAGCTAATTTTGTCAATTCTTGATTCGTCGGAGAGTAGTATAAATTGAAAAATATTGTACTTTAAAGAAACTGCAGATATAAATTAAAAATTTCTTAAATAAGAAAAATAGATACATACTAATAAAAGTAAATGCAGTATGCTTAGGCTACCGATTTTTGCGGACATCACACATAAACCTAAGCAGCGACCTCGTATCACTGTTGGAAATATTTCAACAGTATACAAGTAAACAATAGAAAGGGTACTCATAACAGTCACTTTGCCAAATAGTAACATTGTCATCTTTGCGATATCTGAAATAAAAACATTAAAAAACATATGTCATACACACAAAACAAAAATATCTACAATCCTCTAAAATTTAATAAAATTTACTAAAATATTATGACTGTAAATGTCAATACACTAAAATATACTACAATAGAAAAAGTTATATCTCCTTCATCTTATGTACCGATCCACGGTGCAATGGCAGCGGTTAAAATAAAGAAAGCCGCAATTAAAATACAGACGATGCCATTGAAAGATTGATATGTGCATATTGGCAGTCGTCTACCGTATCTAGATAATACAAAATATACAAATGTATTCGTCGCCATTTCAAGAGTTGCACTCAGGGCGAACGTGATGTGCCTGTTAATCTGAAAACTCGGTGTCAGATCATCAAATATGTCGCACGCTATTGTAGACGTCCACCTTAAAATAAAGATCATAAAGTCATAATTTAAAAAATATTAAAAACTTTGCATTATTTTATTTTAAAAAATAAAAATAAACGAAAATGAAAAAAAAAACTTTTTAAAACATTTTACCATTGACAAATCATTATAGCACCGTATTTTCTTAATATCGATGATTCAATTGCATTTTTCAATGTTGAGTTTATCTTGTTTGCAGTTTGTTTTGTGTCATTACTTCTCGTTTTTTCTTTATTTTTGCTCATATTTTCTTTCTTTATTTTACACAACATTACTTCCTCTATATCTTTCGGAGAAATTTTTTTATCGCATTTTAATGATGTAGTCATCTTTGACTCTTGATCGCACTTCGAATTCGAAGGCAAATGCCGCTTGTTAAAATTTTCCGCTGAACTTGGCGTCTCTTGGCATAATTCTACGTTGGAAAATTTGTTTTTCAAGTTGATCGAATTGGCTTCGAAAGTTTTTCCTAAAATAAATTTTTTATTATTAAATATTCGATTTTATATACAGGGTGAATAAAAAACATTGTATATGTAATTGGACAGTGTCTCTTTCTAAATCTCTGCCCTCTCCGTCTATAGACTGTTCATATTGCAGAAGACTACCAACTGCGAAACATGGAGCGATATTCATTATAATTTATTTTTTTATTTTAAAACTCTTAAATAAAGTCTTAAGATGCTAGTACAGTCGTCGGGTTGACTTGTAACATCTTAAGACTATACATAAAAATAAATTTTTAATGCAAAAATGAAAAGAGAAACAATCTCTAATAACCTTGATCTTAACAAATATTAGTAGCGGATTTTGTTATGTGCAGAATTTAGAGAGAACTACTCTTGAGAGTTTGCCATTTTCATTAGATTTCTATGTGAGGTACGTTGATGACATTGCACTGTCAATACAGGAGGAAAATATTGTTAATTTATTAAGTATGTTTAATAGTTACCATTCTCGATTAAATTTTACTATGGAGAAAGGCGGCAATTATTTGAATTTTCTAGACGTAACTTTAATAAAGAAGAACGATTATTTGATATACGATTGATATCACAAACTCGTTCTCGGTACGGTATCTAAACTATTTTTCGTGTCATCCGAGATGCCATAAAATGTCAAAAACAATTATGAGTTTGATAGACAGTGTTTTATTATTATCACATTCAACTTTTCATGAGAAAAACTTTAAGTTTATTATTAACATCTTACTTACTAACGGTTACTCTTTAAGACTGATTTTTGAAAGCATTAGAAAACACCAAATTCGAAAACTTAACAAGAACATACGCCGAAAGAAAATTACAACAATTTAATTACATTACTTTACCCTACGTGCCTTCAATAGCAGAGAAATTCAAGAAGTTTTTCAAAAATAACAGCGGTTCGTTTGGCTTACATAGGAATTAATAAACTTAATACATTTATATAAGAGCACAAAAGGACAAATTACCGTCATTACATTCTAATGTGGTATATAAAATTAATTGTCAAAATTGTAATGCTTCCTATGTGGGTCAGACGAAAAGGTTATTGAAGACACGTATTAAGGAACATCGGAATCACATAAACACGTATTAAGGAACACCATACAACACTCTGTAATCACAGAGCGTAGAATTGAGCACAATCACGATTTTGATTGAAATGACATCAAAATTTTAGAACAAGGGTTTAATAAGAGACTAATTTCGGAAGCGATTCATATAAAAAAACAAAAAAAATGAACTTAACCTGCAAAATGACACGGAATTGTTCGATTCGTTATATAATAATTTAATTCAGAGAAAATGTATTCTTGTTTTATAAATTATAAATTTGTATCGTCGATTTTATTGTTGGTACTCATTTGGTTTCCATGTTTCATAAGTTATAAATTTGTATCGTTGAGTTTGCGTTGGTATTTATTCTGTTTAACTTTTATACTTATAAACAAACTGCGTAATGAGAAACGTCCTCTCAAGACATAGTTATAAGTACGCGTTATAACGGATTATCATTATGCTGAGTACAATGTAAGTTTTATCTAATCAATATCTGATACAATCAATTTTAATACTTTACTACGATTAAAATTCAAAAATTTTATTATATTAACTCGATTTTAATTAAATGACTAAATTCTTGTTTGGATATCTAACTATAACAGACGATAATGAAGTTCTCAATTTTGGATAACAGCCTAACACGATGATTCACTGACAACATTTGCCTATTGTTTTACAACGTATCAATTTGATTCCGATGACTTTATTCTTACACTGAAGATGACCTAATCCTATGGTCGAAACGTTTGTAAGTGGTGATTGATATATATTATATTTGATTACACACGTACAACTGTGTCGGCTCTTTACACTCCTTTATTGATTTAACCTTTGGAGTCTTTTTTAATTGTTATTGTATAATTATATATAAAATTACGCATAATTGTGTATGAGCAATTTTTTTTAACATTTTTCTAAACTTGTTTTTTTCTAAAACGAATAATGCGAAAATTACCCTTTTAATTATTTTTTATGTTTTTACATTAGTATTGCTATTTCTATTACACTAAAAAGTAATTTTACAAAAAAAAAGAGGAATGTATAAATATGTATGGACATATTTCATATATAATTATACGTGTTTATGAATATTTTATATTATATATGTTTATATATATTAATGTATAAAAAAATGTAATAAAATTTTTAATATATACAATATTATGTTCATTATTTATACCTATAATTTTTTGTTCAGTTAGTTCCGACTTGTTTAATAAATTCGTAATTTCTTCTCGCTGATTTTCGTCAGTTCTTGTTTTCTCAAATTCGTCACTGATGACACGCGACTTTCTCTTCGGTTTTATCGGCATTGAGTTACTTTCCATGCCGTATGCTTCATGCATAAGAATATTCTTCGTTCGTAATCCAATGCAACAGCTGTTATATATTGCGATTCTTTCAAGTGTCATATCAGCTTCTGTTGATTTTTCTTTAGCCAGCAGCCACCTCGGCGATTCCGGTATAATCCTGTTACATACTATATAATGTGAGGAGAGCTTTTATATATACATATATATATTAGGTGTAGTAAAAAGTCATCGCGTATTTTTTAGCTCAAAGTTGTATATACAATATCTTCGTCAATAATGAATGAAATTCAAATTTAAAAAAAGGGTTTTAAAGCTTGAAATCTCTACTTTTAAAAGCTTATCACATTTTTTAA